GGCCTAAAGGCCTAAGGATGGCCCTGGTGCTGACAATTAACCTCCCGGGAGCTGCGGTTTGTGGTTAACCACAGCCTAATTGGCTGGCATCAGGGTGGTCACCATTCGTATCCAAATAACCGAACAGAGTACCGAACCACCGCATGAAAGAACTGTCGAACGACGACCACCTAGATACTGGCGTGTGTTCTCAATTAAGCTGTGGCTTTTGCAGTTAACCGCACTCTAAGTACCTATTCCAATGTGGTAGCCGTTCGTATGGCGCCAAGCAGAGGAGATGACAATGTACAGTGGAAACGATGATACACTCAGGAGGAATAATAGGGGATGCCTCTTGTTCCTGTACTGATTCAGTATCAAACTGTCTAGATAAGGCGTCTGCCTTCACGTTTTTGGGACCAGGCCTGTAAGTTATCAGAAAGATAAAGCGAGAAAGGAGCAAAGACCATCTAGCCTGTCTAGAAGATAGTCGTTTAGCATCCCCTATATAAGCCAAATTCTTGTGGTCAGTAATGATCAAAAGGGGGTCCTTTGAACCCTCTAAAAGATGTCAAGCGTTTTAAATTTGGCTAATAATCCTCTGTTGCCAATATCATAATTACGCTTAGCAGGAGACAACTTTCTAGAGAATTATCCACAAGAATGCAAAGGGGTATCCTGACTCTCCCTTTGAGAGAGAACAGCCCCTACCCCCATTTCGGAGGCATCAACCTCCAGTATGAAGGGTTTGCTGGTGTTGGGATGTATTAATATGTCAGCATAAGCAAACCTTTGTTTGAGAAGTTCAAAAGCTTCTCTAGCCTCCTTAGTCTATATCGTACTGCTAGCCCCCTTGCGTGTCATATTGGTGATGGGGGCTGTCACAGAAGAGAACCCTTTGATAAATCTCCTGTAATAACCCAATAAGCCTTTGAAAGGCCTTTAGTCCATTGGGTAATGGCCAATGTCAAAAAGCTTCTAGTTTATGTGGGTCCATCTGAAAACCAGAGGGAGAAATGTTATACCCCCAAAACTGTACTTTAGTCTTATCAAAGATGCATTTTTCCAATTTACAATAAAGTTGATTCTTAAGTAAAGTTTGCAATACTTGTTTAACATGTTTGTGGTGAGTCTGAAGGTCAGGGGAATAAAAAGGACCCTATTTTCTTCTATATTGTCTTTCTGTCTCTGACAGTCTAGTGACTCCCAACTGCATGGGTTCGGATTCGGACTGTACAGGGAGGTCAGAAACAATAGGTCTGGAAAAACAAGGTGCTAATGACATAGCCATACATCTGGCTCTTTTTCTGGTAGTTTCTCTGGTTCTAAGTCTATTATCAATTTGCATGACAAATGTGATAAACTCATTTAAATTTTTGGGGTAGATCTTTGGCAGCAATCCTGTCCAGAATTGCTTCAGATAATCCTTTTTTAAATGCAGAGATTAACCCACTATTAGTCCAGTCTACCTCAGAAGCCAAGGTACGAAATTCTATGGCATAATCTGAGATAGACAAGTTCCCTTGGTTAATATGCATTAGGGCAGTGGAGGCATCATCCTCCCTGCCTAATGGTTCGAATGTAAATTTGAATTCCGCAAGGAATTCCTGGTAATTATGTGCAATACTCAGATTACTCACCCATAACAGATTGGCCCAAGCTAAGGTTTTACCTTTAAATTGGTTCATTAGGTAACCAATCTTAGCTCTGTCTGAGGGAAAAGATCCCGGTGAGGCCTCAAAATGATACCTAATTTGATTCAGAAATCCCAGGCATTCTTGAATATTCCCATCAAAATGCAGGGGAGGAGGTACGGAGATAGTATGGTTTTATGAAACAAAGGTCATGTCAAACTAACCTAATTGCATTCTACGAAGAAGTAGAAGTATAGATCAGTCAGGATTACTAGTTGAATTGTGTCACACCTTAGAATGGCCAGACTAAACATACCCAAGAATAGTCAGAATACTAGCCGAGGTCAGGGACACAGAAGGAGACATAACGATGAGGGAAAGCCAAAAGTCAGGGATACCAGAATACAGGGAAGTAAAACAAAGCCAAAGTCAATAACCATAAAATAAACGCTCAGAAACACACTCTCGGACAACCTCTATGGAAACCATGACAGGGCAATGAGGAAAAGTAAAATTGCGTTTAAATAAGCCCTTTACAAACCTGATTGGCTGAAAATCGGCCTTTGACCCCAGAACGTGTGCACATGTTTCCCGCGTGACGTCACACGCATGCCAACGTCGTCATCAACGTGGGCGGATGTGGAGCTATAATTTGGTGTGGATCCGCACATGTTGCAGGAGTCAGGTACACAGACGCATGGCCGCTGAGCGCAAATATGGCAAGGTGAGGACGAATATGTTACAAGGTGAGCGTGTTACAGTGCATGTAAACTACTTGGATTTTGCCAAGGCATTTGATACAGTTCCTCACAATAGAGATAAACAAAAGGTGCTGTGTCAATGTAAGGCGCTAAAGGTAAATTTACATCAAAAGTTTGAAAAAAGCTGCTCAACACTCGTGTTACTTAACACAAAAACATGCACACCAGATAGTGAAATATTATTTGAGTGGAGAGGACCCACCACATCAAACAAAAAAACAGTGGAGCGCTAAATTTATACACTTACCCTTAAATAAGGGAATATAGTTAAAACAGAGTGTCTAAGAGAGAAAAAAATAGTCAAAATATGGTGCAGTATGTCTAAAACAAGTAGAATATTATATTTTTCGTATGAAGCACACTCACATGGTGCAGAACCTTATGGGGGATAGGCTCAAATCTCATGCGTAGAGGTATTTTAAAAGAATACCAAAACTTCTTCAGTGTAGAGATGTTGAGTAAAGGGAGAGATAAGACAAAGTATAGTGTGTTATTCTCACTAAAAACGTGAATAAAGTAAGGTAGTCACTGCTCACCTTGTTGAGAGCCAAAGTACTGGGCTCGCAGAATAATGCGCACTGTGCCTTTAAGAGGGCACAACTCTTCTTTGTAGCAGAGGACACTGGCAAGATGTGGGACTTGAATAAATTTATTAACTAAAATATAAGGTAAATTAAATTAGCAAAATAAAAAATACCACAAATGTTAAGTCCAAACAATGAAGTTGCCGTCCAAAGCAGTCCGAGACGCGTTTCGCCTGAACCAGCAGGCTTTTTCAATCAGTATCCTCTTCTGTGCGCCTTGTGCCAGTTTTGTAACTGGTGGTTAGTCCATGATTGGTCTCCCTGTGTGTCTCTTGTCCAATCCGATTGCAGATCCGGTATTCGAAATCGCCATATTATAAACTGCCATGGTACCCGCTTGCATTATAGCTCCAGGCAGTAATTCATAATGTCCATTGTGGTAAATTAAGAAGAAAAACAGAAGTATTAAAAGTACAATACATAACAACGGAGCTTGTACATAAAAAGAACACTTAATTGTTACATAGGGGGAATTTTAGCTCTGGTAATAAGCTAGCAAAAATAACAAATGGTATTTAAAAGTGTTTTGTGCACTTAATTCTCATCGGTAAACAGAAAAAATATATGTTAGTCTGTGTTGTTTATAAACACACAAAATTAAAAAAGCCAATAAAAAACAGTTATCCTCATTCACTTAATCAAAACTGTATGTACAGTGTATCACATAACATTAAAGTGCAAAAATAATCATCACATAATATTAAAGTGCAAGAAGAATCATCAAGCTTTCCAAAAGGACCACATGACAGTACCATCTACTTATAAAAAGTACTGTGATCTTTGTCTGCAGGTAGCACGGTCCTCTAGGGCAAAAACATGCACAGTCTTTCAATGCAACTTCATTCCAGGCACTTTATTTGTAAGTTTACATATGAGGCAGCAGCAAATGAAAACATAAATATAACAGGTTTCCCTTTAAACAAAAACCTAGCTCATCTGAGCACTGACTCACTTTGTATATCCCTCTCTATCAGGGTTAAACTAACAAAAACATATTGCACCAACCTTATTAGATGGCAACACTCTGCTAGCTAGCCTGTTGCTTTCCTTTCTGCACTCCCAGTGCTCCAAGCCAACCTTGCCCTGACTGCTTTCCTTTCTGCACTCCCAGTGCTCCAAGCCAGCCTTGACTGCTTCCTCCTGCACTCCCAGTGCTCCAAGCCAGCCTTGACTGCTTCCTTTCTGCACTCCCAGTGCCTAGTCTCCTTGACTCTCTATCTGGAGAGAACAGCCTCTCTCCTACCTGCTTCCTGGGAGAAAGCCAGCAATCCCTCTCCTTTTCCTGCCTAGCCGGGAGGGGTTTATTCCTACTGCAACAGCTCATTAACTGCAGCTGAGCAGTGGGTTGGAGACGGTCCAAAAAACCCTGGCTTGGATCTATGTCTCCCCAGAAAACCACTAAATTGTGGAGTGGAGCATTGGCCCACCCTTCTCTCCAAATGCTCCACCCCAGGGGCCCATAACTAAACAATGCTTTGTGTTGTGCAACACACAAACTACACGTACTTCCCCTGGGGTTAAAAAGCCTATCTGCCTTCACTTTATCACATATCCTCCCCCCCAGCTCAGACCCATCGGGTCGAGCAACCTTAGAACACAAACCATGAACATTCACGTCACATAGGGCTGTACCAGCCCTGACTTGCTCCTCAGTTACAGGAAGTGGCCTATTGTAGATGGCTGCTACCTTGCCCCCTTGTAGTTTAAGGAACCCCCACCCAAGTGGATAACCCAAATAGTTAGCTGCCTCAAATCCTAGATAACACTTAGTGTTAGCGGTCAGACCGGCAGCCCTTACATTATTCACAACTAACTGGACCTTCATCAGGTGTGCTTCCAAGTCCACTCTGTGAATCGTCACATCACCAAGGTAGGCAGCGGCATTCTCTCCGTCGGGCCAAAGTATCCTATTCATATGCGGAAAGGGGGCTGGTGCACTATGCAACCTGAATGGCAGTACTTTATGTTGCCATAACCCCTTGGGAGTAGAAAACGCAGTCCTTCCCTTTGCTTTCTCTGTCAGGGGAACCTGCCAATACCTTTTTTTTTTTTTTTTAATTTTAATTTTAATTTTTATTTTTTGTCGAATAAAACGCATTTCGATACATTTTGAGTATAACATCGGTAATGAGGTAAACAATTAGGATATTGCAAGCTAATGTACAGAACATGAAACTCAGGGATACAATGAATGACAGAGTTATGACTTTTGCAAAATTCAGAGTGTAATTGTCCCAACTGTACGGTCAACTAGAATCTTACTCGTGCTAGATGGGCGCTTGGTGTCGATAGTTAGGTAGGTTCGTGTGGTATTTAGTCGCATACTGGTAACCTCGTCTACAGAATTGGCTCGAGAGCTGCGTTGTAATGTGAGTAATAGTAATACTAATAGTCATATGTTTGCCTGTACCTCGTTCAGTCTGTGTTAGCCATCTTATGTATTTTTTGAGTCACAGTCATTAGATTTAACTGCGCGTTAATTATAGTCGTCACTCCGGTCTGAGTCTTGGTCGGTGGGGTTTCGTTGGCTTTGTTAGGGCTACTGTATAACTACTACTTCGTTGGTGCCTGTTTCCGGGTGCTCTGTTGGCCAATTCGAATCAACCCCCCTCCAGTACCCCCACCCCTCTCCCCCTCAGTCCTGCCCGTCAACGTTGTCCTGTTTTTGATAAATGTGATCCAGGGGTTCCAAACCTCAGTGTGTTTCAAGTGGTTTCCTAGTTTAGACTGTGCTATAGCTTCCATTAGTCTCGTATCTTCCGCCCTCTGTATCCATTCCCTGACTGATGGGGGTTTGGGTTGTTTCCAGTTTTTGGGTATTAACTGGGATGCTGCTGTAGTCAGGTGGATGAAGAGAGTTGCATCTTTTTTCAGGAAGCCATGTGGGGGAATGTGGAATAGATAGTTAGCTGGGGCTAATGCGAACGTGGTGTGGAATATGATTTGAATGAGCGTGTGGATTCTGGACCAGTACTTAGCGATTAGTGGACACTGCCACCAAATGTGTGCGTGGTGAGCCCCCGCTTGGTTGCATCTCCAACATTGGTCTGTGGGGGTGGTGTGTATCAGATGCAATTTCGCAGGTGTGTAATGCCATCTGGTGACTCTCTTAAAGTTACTCTCTTGGGTAGAGAGTGAAATACAAGAGGTATGAACCTTTTTTAGGATGGATAGCCATTGTTGTGGTGAGAGTGTAATTTTGAGTTCTTCCATCCATTTTGTCGTGTACCCTGGGAGAGTCCGTGATCGTGCGTCGTCGATCAGGGAGTACAAAGTGGAGAGTAGTTTTTTAGTGACCGAATGAGAAGTGCAAAGTTGCTCAAATTTGGTCAGTGGTCTATCCCCGCTGGGCAACAGGTTATGAGTTCTGATGAAATTCGTCAGTTGGTGGTGGCGTATTTGCTGGACTACCGTGTGTGTTGGGTTCGGCAGCACTTGGGATAGGGATTTAATCCCGCCCTCGTGTACCATATCCCTTAATTGCAAGGTAGAGCCTACGTGATATGTGTGGAATGCCTGTCCCGAGTCCCCTTGCTGAAAGAGGGGGTTGTGGGTGATTGGGTACAGTGGTGACGGGTGCGGCGAGATTTCCGAACTATATCTTAGTTTGTGCCAAATTCTCAGGGTTGGGTCTATTGTCGGATGTGTTTTGGGGGAGAGCATTCGAAGTTGTGGGCGGGCGTCGGGCAGCCAACAGATGTTGCGTAGGGTATGTTTGGACATCGCATTTTCTATATGCGTCCATGGCATGGCATGAGTGGGCTTTGTCCATTCATAGATCCATTGCAACTGAGTCGCCTGATGGTATTGCTCTATATCTGGGAGATTTACCCCTCCTTGCTCTTTGCTTTTAGTCAGTGTGGAGTAAGCTAGCCTAGGGGTTGAGTGTGCCCAGATGAATTTCGTAAAGATGGCTCTGATTTTTTGAAAGAAGGAATGGGGAATAGCAATGGGGAGTGTTTGGAGAAGATAGAGCGCCCTAGGGAGGAGGTTCATTTTTATTATGTTAATTCTGCCTAACCACCCAAAGCATGGTTTGTGCCACGTTAGTAGGTCTTTGCCGATGGTCTCTATCAGTGGAAGAAAGTTTAACTTATAGGTACATTCCAAATCATTTGGGATGTGTACTCCTAAGTATTTAATGGACTTGGAGGCCCAGGTAAATTTGTATTCTGTTCTCAGCCTAGTATTGAGTGAGGCAGATGTGTGTATAGGTAGTAGTTCACATTTGGATAGATTCGCCCGGAAGTTGGAGAGTCTCCCATAGTTTTCCATTTCGGTAATTATGTGGAAAATCGTCACTGATGGATTTGCTATAGTGAACAGGAGGTCGTCCGCAAAAGCCGTGACCTTGTATTCCTGTGAGTCTATGCAAATGCCCCTTATGTGTGTGTTGTCTCTTATCCCCTGCAGAAAAGGTTCTAGCACCAGTATGAAAAGGAGGGGTGAGAGCGGGCAGCCTTGTCTCGTTCCATTTGTAATGGCCACTGCTTGTGACAGTTGGCCATTTATTCGTAGTCTGGCTGTTGGCCGTGAGTAGATGGCGTCTATCCACTCCTGCCAGCGAGAGCCGAAGCCCAGTAGGCGGATTGTGTGTTTCAGCAGTGCCCAACTGACCCTGTCAAAAGCTTTTTCAGCATCAATGGCCAGAAGGGCACTGTCAATTTTGTGTATTTGGGCCCAGTGGATAAGGTTAATGACTTTTGTGGTGTTGTTCTTTGCCTCTCTGTGTGGGACAAAGCCAGCCTGATCATGGTGGATAAGACCAGGGAGTAGGGGTTTGAGTCTAGTGGCCATAATCTTCGTAAGGATTTTCATGTCTAGATTTATCAATGATATGGGCCTATAGCTGCCACATGAGGTCAAATCTTTACCCGGTTTTGGTATCAAGGTTATGGTTGCCTCAAGGGCAGTGTGCGGAATACAGGTCGAGAGGTGTCGTGTGTTGAATGCATCTATAAAGGGTTGTGCCAGGATTGGCGCCAGCAGTTTATAATATTTCCCAGAGTAACCGTCTGGGCCTGGGCTTTTGCCTATGGGGATGGTCTTGGTCACGTGAAGGAATTCGTCCACCGAGATTGGGTCGTCTAGGAACGCCAAGTCGTTGGCAGGGAGGGTGCGCTTGATTCTAGGTGTTAGGAAATCTATTATGTCTTGAGGTGTAGGGGGCGCCGAATTCAGGTTGTATAGTTCGGTATAGAATTTGTGGAATGCTCCCATTATGTCTGGCATGTGGTTGGTTATCTTGCCTGTGTCAGTTCTAATGTCAGAAATGAAGGTAGATTGTCGTTCTTTCTGTAGCGACTGTGCTAGGAGTTTCCCAGCCTTGCCTCCCTGCATATAGTAAGTGCTTTTTGTCAGTGACATTTTCCTCTTGGCATGTAGGGTCAGAATCGTGTTTAATTCAGTCCGTTTGGCTTGTAGCGAGGAATAGTCCTGCAGAGTGGATATGTCATGGTGTTTGCATTCTAGAGTTTTGATTTCCCTAGTGAGCCTGATGATAGACTTTTCCCTCTTGTGTTTCAGGTTGGAGGCTATTCGGATTAATTCCCCTCTGAGGACTGCTTTGTGAGCTTCCCATGTCATTATGGGAGCAGTGTCCGCGTTCGTGTTTTCCCTAAAGTAGTCGGTGGCCGTCTTCTTAATTTGTGCAAGGGTGTCAGGGGGGTTTAAGAGGAGATCATTCAGTCTCCATTGTGCCGAGGGGTTGGGTAGGAATGGTATGGTCAATGTGAGCGTGAGATGGGCATGGTCAGACCATGTGATGGGTCCATAGGCGGACGTCTGTATCATAGGCAAGTATCTATGTTGTAGGAAGAAAGAATCTATACGGGAGTACGTCCCCGTGGGAGGTGAGAAGAAAGAATAATCTTTCTTCGTAGGGTGGATCGCTCTCCACCCGTCATATAGTTGAGCGTCGTAGAGAATGTTTTTCATTTGCAGTCTTAATTGGGATTGGTATTTGTGGGAGGTAGTAGTAGAGTCTAGGGCTCCGTCTAGAGAAGTGTTGATGTCTCCTCCCAGGATCACCACTCCTTCATGGAATAGTGAGAGTTTCTCTAATATCTTTTTGAGGGATTGGGCCTGTTTCTTATTGGGTAGGTAGATGTTAGCCAGCGTGATTTGGGTGTTTCCTAACTTTCCTTTTACAAAAAGGAACCTGCCGGAATCGTCTTGTTGTTGGTCTTGGAAAGTGAATTGGGTGTGACGGTGAATTAGTATGGCGACCCCTCGTGCTTTCGCTTCTGAGTAATGACTAAAGTATCCTCTTGGGAAGTCCCTGTTTTGCAATTTAGTAGGGGTATTTTTGCGGAAGTGGGTTTCTTGGACAAAAACGATATGCGCTTTATGTCTGTTAAAGTCCGTTAGGGCCATAGATCTCTTCTCTGGGGTATTGAGGCCCCTGGCATTTTGCGTGAGGAGTGTTATAGTAGCCATCTCGGGGGAAAGTGTTGGAGGAGATATCTGTAGAGAGAGACGTGATTGAGATTTCGTGTACCGTACCGTATCTAGTATGACCACTGTGTGTATTGTACCTAATTCAGTATCCCAGCACTTGCGTGGAAAGTCAGTAAATAGGTGTACGTCTTGTATAGAGTTAGGTTACCTTGTCTCTGAGTTAGCCTGTGGGTGGTGGGGGGGGGGAAAGAGGGAGAGGGTCTGTCTGGATAGCTCAGTGGAGTCTGTCCTGCCACAGAGGCCTCCACCGGTAGGGGCTAAGGGGGAGGTGACTGGTGTCTCCTTAGCTTGTAGTCGTGTCAGGTGGGTGGTCCTGGTCAGTAAGATCTGAACCTTTGAGGAAACAGTATAAAACAGTATAAAACAGTATAAAATACAGAATGTAAGCAGTGAAGATGTTAAAACAGTTGACAAAAACAAACGATATAGTGCTCGGACAGTGGCAAAACCCTCCCAGCCCTCTGTGGGCCACTATCTACTGGCTTCTGCTTGGCTAGGGTAGGATGGCTCAAGTGATAACGACTCGCTGTGACCTTATCACTCTATCAGCCTCACGATACAGGTGAGGTATCAGTTGTGAAAATGGGGAAGAGGATAGGTCTGAGGAGGTGTCCACTCCTAAGTGGGTAAATGATCTTCCCTGAGGGGGAATCTGGTCCTATCTCGGCGCATGAGATAGGACCGAATCTAAAATGGGGTTGTGTGGTCTTGGGGTGCGCCTGAGACCCGGGACTTGTAATCCTCAAAAATTTAGTATTCGTTTGGAGAGCTCCATTGTGGAACCTAAGTTAGGTATGAAAAGTGTTTTTTTTAGTAATAACTGGGTAGAACCTACATCAATAGTTCTCATTTCTTAGAGGCTAAGCCAAACTTAGAGACCCGTAGTTACAAAGCCTGGTAGTTACATTAGTGGACAGAACAAATCATAGCTAGGGCCAGAGGGAGAAGAACGTCTCAATAGTATCAGAGTACATAATGTTAGGTGGAGCATACTTGCCCTCACATCTGGTAGGTGGGAAAGGATAGTGTCCGTTGCCCGGCCTTGGAGTCTATGGAGAGAGGGACCTCCGTCCCTTATATCATGCAGTGTTTCGGTGTCACCTTCACGGTCCGCCATCCTCATGGTTAGGTGGTTCTCAGAGGCCGATGTCTTCATGAGGGCTTTTGTGCAGTTCATTGAAGAGATGGAGTATGGAAGTCCTCCAGATATTTTGTCCGGCTTTGGAAGTTGTATATGTAGCCAATCTTTGTATCCCTGTGTACGGGTGCCTGGCCATGAGAGAGCTTGCTAGTCGCCAGTGGCCATTCGTTTGCGGGCAGGGGTGTTGGGTTGTCTCCCCCGTCTTGCTTGTGGGGAGGTGAATCCAGGATCATTTCTGCTCGTTTTTGCAGGGGTACCCCAGTTCTGTCGATGGGCTGTTTGCATGTTGTCTTGGTGGGGTATCGGGTAGTTCCAATCCATTATCGTCATGTCCGGAAGCTCCAGGGCCCGGAGAAAGGG